CAAGGAATTATATTTCTGCTATTCACAAAGCTTAGAGATGCTCAGGAACCAGGATAAATCCCATGTGCAAAGTTATTTCAAATGTATGATGCAAGAGCCCTCAACAAATTTGTTCAGGTTTTTTTTTTAAAGTGATTGTAAAATTTATTTGAATGCATTTAAACATATTTAAAACGTATCTTTAAAGTTTACATGATTTTAAAAGACAAGACAAAGTTGAATTTGAAATCTTACTTTAATTTTTAAACGTGTGTGTTTAAAATATTTTTAAAAAGCTAACGTAAAAACAAAATTTCCAAATAAAGCACAAATATTTAAAGGGTCTACACAAAAATGATCACTTTTTCTCTTTTCCTTTTTTTAAAGTCTGGCAGACTGGGATTTCCGCATTCTGAACCTTTCTTTTGGCCTTTTTATACGTCTGGAGTTGAGAAATTTTTGCATGTAATTGGCTCTCACTACTTCAAACATACATTTTATGCTGGTTGGTCTGCAAAGACACAAAAGCTCTTGACCATTTGCCTGAGATACAGCAATTCAGTATAGTTTCTTATTTTGAAACAAAACAAAAGTTAAAGTTAAATCGGTTCCATTTCTTTTTGATGCTTATTTCTCTTAGTTTAACCTCTAAATGTATTTTCAGCCTGATCCAGAAACGTCTAAATTTTGAGATATGTAATTCCAGGTCTCAGTATTGTAGCCATATAGATGACTTTCTTCTTGTACTGCTCTGCAAGCAGCTCCTATTGTGTAATCAGTTTTACTGTCCATAGCCTGAGATGAGATACTGCTTTATTGTTATTTGCCTTTTTTCAATAGTTTGTTGTTTTGGTTTTGGGTTTGTTTTTTTTTTTTTTTTTTTTGTGGAATTGTTACCAGAGGAAAATAACACTGGGGGTAAGCCTCCTCTGTATAAATAAATTTTAAAGGATCTTAGATTAATGTTGCCTTGCTTACCTTGTCGAATAAACAAAGGCTGCAAAGGTTCTGTGGGGCAACACCACAGTTCACCTAGTCTGCATTTAAAACCATAGCATCCTATTTCCTAACTGTGAAGTTATCTTCCCTCTGAATGTCAATTTACCCTTAAATAAATTCTGGAATATCTTGGACCAGAGAAGCACAATGCAAGTTAAATTCATGGTGAATTGTTTGGGGCTTTTTTTTTCACTGGTGGAGTTTAGCTATAAATGGAAAAGTATTCCTGTCATGACTTGCTCTAAACTCAGAGAGGAAGGCAGCAGTGGTGAAAAGTGTCTGAATCTATTGCAGATTATCTGCAAGCTTCTATTCCCCTGAGATTCTAAGGTCCTTTCTGTTCTTCTATCCAAAGATAAAGTAAAAATACTGTGAAGCACTTACAAGGTCCTTACTGTCCTTTCTGAGCTGTCTATTTTTACTTGTCGTCTGCTAGCCAAACATATCTGGCCTTGCCTTCTCTTTTTTGGTCATTTCATTAAGGCAAATGTATGAATCGCATCATCTCAGCTGAAAATGCCAGCAAAAAAGGGACTGTTAACACTCCTTTATTTTCATAGAAAAATGGCCTGGGAAAGATAACACCATTTCTGCTTGCATTCACAAGAAAATCTAGGAAACCAGAGGAGAATTGATACTAGTACCATCAGAGAAACTTCCCCAAAATTAGGGCTGTCAAACATCTAGGTGAATCAAGTTATACTGTGGAGAACTGGATGTTCTCCATTAAAGAGCCTGTCTGAATGAGGAGTGACGTACGCTGCTCACAGCTGTTTCTGAAAGGAATGACGTAAACGGAGATGACATACATGATATAGAAATTCTACAACCAGCCACATAGTCAATTAAGATGTCTTTGTTTAAGTAGAAATCACATTATTAAACCTCAGTGTTCTGAAGCGAGCAAACTCAACGCAAAGCTATCATTGCTACTTTTTTCAGAGCTGTTTCATCACAGACATCTGCCAGCCAGCTGTGTAGACTTTCTGGCTGCGCTAATTTGCAAAGTATTATTGCTGGCCTTCAGCATTCAGAGCCATCTCCTTTTGGAGTTCTTGATGGTCCAAAACTTACTTCTTGGAAATATTTTCTTCATCTGGTTGAGCTGGTTACTCTTGTTTGATTGCATTTGATTTATTTTAGCTCTGGCATGGGCTTATTTTGTTGGGCTTACCTTGATTTTATAAGGAATCTTATCAATACATAAATGCTGACTAGTAGAGCAGGAAGCTGAAACATCACTGAGTTTGCAGTACTACCCCACTGAAGACAACATTCAGCAGGATCCTCCCCTGTCCACCAACCTCCCTTCAGTTTTGAAGGTTAACCTCTTTGAGTTGCTTTTATATTTGATTATTTAATTGCTTTGTCATTTCCTGGAGCTTCACCTGGAGGATTTGGCTGAAAGGCTGGGAGGAAAGATGCTGCATGGACAGGTGGTGGTGCAGGAGCAGGTCCCTGCTTTCCCTGCTAACACTGCCCTCTCCTGGTTCTCCTCCTGAGAACCGAATGAAGGAAAGGAGAACTATGTCGCTGCCTTCTCCCATTACTTGCTGTCTCTCCTGACCTCCCTTCTGGTGGATGGCACCATGAAAGCTTTGCATTGGCCCAAGAATGCAAGGCAGCCCTGTCTCATCAGAGTTCAACATTCAAGCCAGTCCCATGAATTTCCCAACACTTAGGTGTTTTGCAGGCTGCTGTATCTGGGGCTGCCTGAGTTGCTGGGGTTTTACTAGGCTGAAGAGCTTGAGACTCAGTAGTCCCTGAAACCTGTTCTTCTGGCTTTTAGAGTTCAGCACTGCTCCTAGCTGGCCGTGCTGACTCTTTTAATCCTGCTTGCTGACTGGACCTCTCCTAGGCTTATCCATCCATTGCAAGTTTCCGAGTAATAACTCTGCCAGGCTGTTGGAACCAGGCTAATCACCTATCCACAGCATGCCGTTTCTGAGCCATTATGGGTTACTGCTGAATTCCCTCTTCTCCCCTGAGAGCCCTTACAGAGCCTGGAGTGCTCCCCTCCCTCTCGTTTTCCCCACTTCCCCAGCTCATGTCACTCCACAGAGCAGGATCAGGTTGCTTTTGCATTGTGATTCTTGGCATGAGCCCCTCTCGGATTCGTATAGCTGTTATGTGAGTATGGCAGCCAGTAGGAACAAAGCACATAAGAACACATTAAACTAACATTCAGCACACAAAGCCCGAATAATTTACTATATGCTACACTGCCTAGTAAAGGGAATAGTGTAGCAAGCTCACCCTTTTAATTTCCTTTCTCTCACTTTTGTCTACAGAAGTCTATACCATAACTTCCTTACAAAGAGTTTATATTTATTCTGTAGTCATTCTTAGGCTGTTTGGGTTTATGCAGTATTTCTTCCAGTAACAGTCTCCTGTGCTTTGCTTGGTACCATCACTGAAAAGATACATACTGTTGTATCTGATTAGAAATTTAGTTGTAGAAATACAACCTTTTCCACTGCCTTGTGCTCTTACGGTGGTAAAATGATCCCTCTCGTCCTGCTGCCCGACAATTCTCTTTTTAAAACCCACAATGAGTAGTATTACAGAAGTGCAAAGTATAGATCAAGAAACGTGTGTACTGATTACCAGTTATCCCTTCAGGGATAAAAAAAATAATCCAGTTTTACATTCTTTCCATGTCATGTATTAATGCAGTAGAGTTCCAATAAAAATATTAATCACTTAGGACTACAAAATGTTACCAAACTGACAGATAATATTAGGGGGGAAAAATTGAAAGGAGGTTCCAGTATAGATAAGAGAGTTGCTACAGCTGCTCGCACTGACAAGGGTTGCAGAAGCTTGCAGTAAACTTCAGAATCCATCTAAGTGCATGTACCATGATTCAAATACACTCATATTCATAGGGAATATACTTTATTAGAAGAAAACCATACCACCGAAAAAAAAACAGAAAAGTTTTTGGGGATATATAGTGTTTGATAGAGCAATCTGATTGGAAGTTTATCCGGTCTACCTACATGTCTCACCCAGTCTAGTAAGAAATATTGTTTCTCCTTGTTCTGCTAGATCCTGAGACCACTGTGAGTGCAGTAATCCCTGAAATGCTTGTACAAATTACAGCCTTACTTGGGATTCTGCACAGTTCACAAGCTAGCATGGACTTTATCGGTTGCTGAGCAGATAAACAGGTTACTGAAGGCAGATGTTTCCTGCTCTTCATTAAGACTCTGTGGGCCCCTAATTCTGGCAATAGCATTAGGCTCAGAGCTGAAAACTTTGTTCACATATATTTCAGTATGTTGTGTGGCGTGGTTTCCAACACCACATGTTGGAAAACCAGTTTGCAGACTGTAGACAGAGTGATTAAGATAGTTTTGAAGTTCCATGTCCTGTTCTGAGCCAGTTACAGTAATCTGAACAATGAGTGATCCAACAGGAAACACAGAGTTAGTAAACAAAAATCGTGCATGTTCCACTACAACTGTGGATAGTCATCTTCTTACTGAGTTAGGAAATACAGTCTCTGAAAATTATTAATTCCACAGCAAAATCAGAACTCTGCTAAACTCTTCGGTCTATTATGTATAATTATGTAACATTCCTATTGGTTTTATATAGGAAATAATTCTTAAGTAATGACCTATAAAACATCCTGTTCTTCAAGAATGAAAGCCAAGCTATTTAAAGTAATATACTAAGGAAATGCTGTATTGCTTCTGGAATTGCGTTCAGAAAAGCATTTTGCAGAGGAAGCTTTTCTAATATTTATCATATTTATTCATAATTGTATTTGCCTTAACTGGGAGGTCACAAGCCTGGTCCTGTAGAACGAAAAAGTGAAATAAAGAGAAACCAGTTTCTGGTAAGGGAATCACCAAGGGAAGATGCTGATCCTGGAAGTGCTGAGCATGTTACATCTCTACTAACTCCCTTTCTAAAAGGTGTCCTAGCTTAGAGCTGAGCCTGCTGGGCAGGGTTCATTATACAGTGAACACATTTAATAGTAGAGAATGACCATGCCTCTGTGTTTCTTGCAGCTTCATGATGAATTAGAAAAGGGCGAGAAGGAAAGCGCAGAGCTGCAGGAATTTGCCAATGCCATCTTACAGCAGATAGCGGATCACTGCCCTGACATCCTGGAGCAAGTTGTCAATGCACTTGAGGAGTCATCATGACCTCGGCCACTAGCCCCACCAGAGCAGCACACCAGTGGCCAAGCCCAGTCAGTCCAAGGAGCCATGAGAGTGGAGAGGAATGGGAAAGACAGAAAATGGAATAGAAACTTCTGGTGCACCTTTTACAAAGAAAACAAAAGAAAGAAAAAAAACAACAACCAACTCTCTAAAAACTACATGCTTTCCAGGTTCTTCCAGTCTATGATTAATCAGTCATGTTTGCATTCATCTTCTCACTGCCTTTCTACTTTAGAATCCAGTTCCCCATTGACTTTGTTGATGGTGACTTTTGGATACAGCTAAGCAGAGCTCTTCCAAGTCTACTGAGCAAAGAAGAGGGGATCCACTGAATACAAGCAGCTATAATTCTCCATGAGGTTGCAGAAGGGTAGCCCTTGCCTTTTATTCATTTATTGCTTCTTTTGTCCTCTCCTTTATTTCTTCCCTCCCCCCCCCCATAAAAACTGAAAGTCTGAATTTCATAGTGCTAAAATCAAACCTGTGTTCTGATTATGGTTTGTGACTGGCCAGCATCTGCTAGCTAGCTCAGGTCTCACTGCCTATACTAGCCTTTCTATATTCTTAAATAAGAGAGAGAAAGAGGAAAGGAAAGTTTCACTATTTGTTCCTGTTAGTCACTCCATCTAGCAGCTGGAAAACAAGGTAGGCTTACTGGTACTTTCTGTTTACTTAATTTTGATTTTTACTATTTGCTGATCTGACTCTGAAGTGCTGAGTGGGGCATTTTTTCAGGTAGATGTTTTAATCTGTTGATTTCTTGGTGTTTTTAGCTGAGGTTTCTCATCATAGGTCTGTCTCCTAAGTTCTTGTTTTATAGAGAGCTCTCTCCCTTCGAGCAGGTGTGGTCAGCAGGTCATCTCCCAGCTTTAACTTGTATAGTTTTTTCCATTGCCAATTTTTCAGGCCATAGCTTTGTGAACACTAGCTTCTATCAGAATAGTCTTAGCCATTTTGCAGATGAGGAAATCACATCACTTAGCTTAAAAGTACAATTTTAAAGCTAAAGTTAGTTAAATTGGTAACAGTTCTTGCTATAATTATAATTTAATTTATTTTGATTTAGCTTAGGTTGACAAGGAGTGAGCTTGAGTTCAGAGCAATAACCCATTTTTACAAAGAGCAGCATCTCTGCTGGAGTTGTCACCCAGCTGAGTAGGTAGGTATAAAATCAGAGCTTTAGTTAAACCAGTGCAATTCTTATATGTATATGAGAGGCCTTAGTCTTGTTCCCATCCATCTTTGACACTCGTTAAAGCCCCTGCTGATAGGTAATATGACCTGAAATAGCAGGTCAGTTTGTCGTTGTGGTGGCAAGTCAGGATCCTATTTAATGAGTAGGATTTGGGTGTTCATTCTTGGACTATGCACTAATGGGGAGACATGTTTTTTTCTTGGCTACCAGTGGTTATGTGTGTCTGGGGGCATCTGCAGGACAGAACCCTTTAACACATCCCCATGTGCTCCTTAAAGGAGTTGTTCCCCTTTAGCTTTCTCATATTACTTAAGAGAATGAGAGAAGGGCAAAAGGAGACCAAATATCAACAGAGCAGTGGAATAAATCTTGGGTTTCTAGTGACTAGCTGATTATGAATCCTCTCAGTAAAGCTCTCATTCAGAGCCTGCAGTTTAATTCAATATGACTTAACTACATTTTGACCTTAATCACTAAACTGTTATGGTAATGAAAATGTTCAAGCCCTCTCAGGAAACTTGCATTTCTTACGTCTTTCAAATCCATAGCACAGCTCTCCTGTAGGTCTTTCCCATCCTATTTTTATCCCTAGAAGTAACCAATTGCTTCTAATAGAAAGGAGGTCAGCAGAAGTTGTGTAAAGGAAGATGTACCCTGTCTTTTTTTCAAACAAGCACTGAAAAATGTGCAAACCTGAAATCTTATACACCTGTAGACTCTATTAACTGATTTAAAATAAATCACATCCCAATTCATTCTGCTGTAACGATTCAGCAGAAGGACCTGGATCCGTAACCATGGTGTCCACTAGGAAGAAATATGTAAGTCTCCAAAGAAGATGTGATTCACACCTTTTCCATGTTTTGAACTGCCGGTGCTTTGCAAAAAGAAAATGTAGCTTTAGTTCTTGCTGTAGTAGCAGACTGTGTCTGAAGCTTTTGTTGTCATGGATGAGGAGAGTAATGAGAACTTGAATGTGTGCAAGGGGGAAACACCGGAAGGCGTGCAGACAGTGACTGTACATACCACTGAGCCGTGCCTCATCCCAGAACCACCCCTTTGGTCCCATTATTTGAGTCAGCACGTTTTGATAGGAGCTGTTGTTTTGAAATCTTTCCTCTTGCTTTTTTCTTCATCACCCCTAATTACTCACTCAAGGAATTTAATGCCGCCTGTAAAAGCATCAGAGCCATCAGCCTAATATCATCGCGTCACCGCCACCACTCCTGACTATCTCATTAACTTATATGGTCAAATCTCCAGCTGCCATGGTTCCCTGCTGTAAAACAATCCCTCCTCTGTGAGAAGCTGTGGAATTTCCCTTATCGATGGTTCAAATGACTCCTGCTTGTAAACCTCTTACTGAGATGTTCCTTGATAGCGTCTCTGCTGCAAGCAGGGGGAGGGGATGGGAGCGAGGGGTGGTCACTTTGGGCTGTCATTTCAATTCTCTTCACTTACTGCATTGCCCACACATCACAGGAAAGTGCTGAATCCTCTGCATCTTAAATTCAGCCTGTGGCTGCATTTCTAGAGTTGAAAGTGCCCCAGCCAAAGGCATGGTGCTGTCCTCGCAGCGTGTGCGGGATCGATGCATCAGCAGCTAGGTGAATCTCACTGTTTACAAATCTCCTGGCCTCTTCCCTGAGAGGATTTGTCAAGCCTGGCTAGTTTTCATGCTGGCCATGTGGTCTTTTATCTCCCAGGCACACACCTGCTGTTCCTCCCATCTGCATTGTTAGGCCTTTGCAATTTTTCTCGTTAACCACTGTTATCTTCCAGGTCTTCCAGGCTTCCCATCTTAAACATTGATCCTAGACCTCAATAAAGTGCTTTCAGGGAGAGAGCAGATCTCATTTAGGAACAGACTTGATCCGACTTGATCTCTATTGAACTATTTCAGGTAATCTCTCTGATCCTGTGTCGACAGAGATCTTGTGATGGTGAATAGCTTAAGGAACTAGGTGATTTGGGAGTTACTGCTGGCCATGGTTTAATGCTGAACATGACCAGTGAAAGCTTTTTCTTTTCACTTATGTGGAGTTCCACACCATTGGCCTTAGGGCAATGAAGGGATTTTGTTACCATAACCCATCACAAAATTGCATATCGAGCACACGGCAGAAGGGCTGTATGTGTGCACATACTGCAGTGCTCATCCAGTTGCCTAACCCACCACTCTGTTAAAGTCTGATACCCAAGTGTCAGCAGCCAGGCAAAAATAAGACAGTTTCCTAGCACAGCAGTCCTGCAACACAGCAGCTCTGGGAAATCAGGGGCCCTTCCCAGGGAGACTGGGGAAACTTGCTTTTTCTTCTCCTGTTGAATGAAGTTCCATTTGCTGCTGGAGCTGTGAAAGTTTTAATTGCTTTAATGTGTGTGTTTTTTTCCTTTCAAGCTGTCATTTGTACAGAAACTGAGAGATGTGAGGAGCTGTCTGTAGAAAATTAAATAGGTTATTTTAGCTGGGTTTGGACTAAAATATAACTCAAGCCTGAAGCCCACGTACAGTGTAAAAACTGACACCCCAACCATGCTTCTTCATGACATCCCTGAGTCCAAGTACATATTTTCCTCTGAATCCAGCCTCATGTAAAACACTAAAAGGACATTACAACACTAGAATTGCAGGGTGAGGACATGAACACTATTTGTGATTGGAAGAAGAATTGCCTGGCGTGCTCCCAAAGGAAGCTCTAGGTTTCGAGTATTTGCTCTCATTTTGACTGCCTTTAACCAGCTTTCCCTCTAGAAAATGCCAAACACTCTTTGGAGTATCTGATTTTTGCCAAGTCCAGGGGACAGAAGGTGAAGGTCTGATGTGATGCACAAAACTGTGTGTGCTGTTTCTTGTTGCACAGCTGGAATATCCCTTCTCTTGCAAATTTCCTGGTACTTTGGGGCTCTCGGTATTTTGCACAAGGGAGCATTAATGTCATAAGTCTTGTAGACGTAACCCTGGTTTTGTGAACCAAAGGGGCACCTCTTTTCATTTGCCCTGTAGTTCCCACCCGTTCTGCTGCTAGTGCTCAATTTGTTTAGGGAATTTCTACATCTGATAAAAGTTGACAGGGTTGAGTCCCCATTCCTGTCCTAATTGCCAATCGTTGCCACTGAAGAGGTTTTTATTACAGAGGATGTAGAGAGTTGCACACTGATACCATTTTAAAGCAAAAATTTCACTACATAAATAATGCACATATTCCTCAAATGACTCCACTGAAATGCAAAAGGGAAGGAGTACAATCAAGGCATCTGCTATTTAAAGGAAGCCTCTACTCAGCTCAGCGCCCGCATTGAAGGAGGGAACCGGAGAGGACACAGAAGGCTATGGATAACTAACACTGCCCCAGCGAAGCCGGCGGGGTGGGAGGGTCAGGCACGGGGCATCACGCCTGGCAAGGCCAACTCTGCTAACCCCTCTTGTCATCATGGCAAGGAAAAGGAGAGTCGGGGGGTTTTTAAACAATACAATGTTTTTAATTGTTTTTTCCACATGAATGGAAGGAAACTTACGCAACAGCAGATCCTTCTGAACAAAATGGCTGTGTCCGCTGACTGTTTTTAAAAAAACCCAAGAAAAACTGTTTCAAAACTTTTTAGTGTCAAAAGCATAAACACAGAAATCCTGACTTTTTCCAGTGTGTGTGGTGAGTGCTGTAACCCTGTCATCAGTATCTCTCCTGACTTTTTCAGGGGTGTTTTTTCCTGTTTTGTTTTCTGCTTGTCGATATTGTCTGTGTGGTCCTAAGGCTGGGGCAGTTACCAACAATGTGTGTCTGTTGTCGGATTAAACAAAAAAGATAGTAGTAGAACTGAAAAAGATGTGTTTTAAAAAAATATATAAAAATTAAATTTCATCAAAAGGAATTCAAGTAGAGAAGCAACAAAGCCATGACTCCTCCTTTCAGGATTGTACGGAAAAGGATTTGTGGGCTTATAATCATAACCAGTTGCCTTTCA